CTGCTGCTACTACTACTACTCCTTCTACTCCTACTCCTTCTACTCCTACTCCTACTCCTACTCCTACTCCTACTCCTACTCCTGCTGCTGCTGCTGCTGCTGCTGCTGCTGCTGCTGCTATCATCTATACTACTACTATCACCACACCAAGCCTTCACAGACGAAGCATGCCAACAGTTCATGGCGGTATGGATAGAAATCGCTTGCTTGTTGGGAAGTTTAGCTTCAGTTACCATGACCAGAACAGCGGAACAAGGGGGCCCTACTATTTATCACATTTTCCTATAGATCCCTATGGTGGTACATGTTTTCCTATAGATTCCTATTATGGTAACTGAGATTAACATCTTTCACTCAAACCAAGATCAGGCCAAGAGGATCTCTCCGGCTCCTTTCGGTCGGAAGGCTCAGGGGGTTGCGGTCGAGGCTTTGGGTTCAGGCTTTAGGGTTCAGGCATTAAGGTTTATAAGGGCTTAAGGTTTAGGGTTTAGAGTTTTAGTTTCAGGGTTTAGGAGCGTAAGCTACAACTTATAAACATATAAACCACTACATGCCCGCATGGTATTAAGCTACTGCACGAGTCATTGCAGTATCTAAAATATCGGAAGTTTGGTTCGGTTCCTGAGCGAATGCTCGGCGTGTGAGACATCATTGAGTTCAAATCCTGACCGGCATTTTTCGCCTATGTTCATACGGCCCTGGAATACAGCCTGCACATCTCTCGAAACGCGTGCTCTCGCAGTGAGCAAAGTTCAGCAAACTTGTCGTGGTGGCCTTGATGCAGTGTTGGCTGACCTTGAAGTTTACTGCATGGGCGGGATGAGGTCTTTGAGGGAGGGTGTCGTGGCCTTTGGTCGAAAGCTTTCCGGCTTCATTGGTTTCTAGGGTCTGGGGCCGGGGCTTCACTTTCGGGCTGCAGGCGGAAGGTTCATCTTCAACTGGTACTTTAAGCTCCTTATTGCGTTGTCCCTCTTGTAGCAAGCTCATGTTGGAAGAAGTGTCCCAAAGGGCAGCCTGATTGAGCACGAAGCCCCAGCAATCTCATGCAAACTCATCCAGACATCTCATGAACATAACCCCCCCCATATATAATCCCAAAACCGTCCAAAACATCACTAGCCTACCAAATCCCTTTTTCAAGCGGCATTGCAGCAAGACCCGTTCCGAAAGGAGTTCCCACCGGCTGGAAACCTTTTCCTGCCAAGCAGAGCACCCCAAACCCCTGAACCCTAAAGCC